TATTTCCGCGTGAAAGTACTTGGCTGCCACCACTTGCTCTGCTACCTCCAAGACCGACTCTGCACTCATTCTGCGTTTTATCTCACCTGGCACGGACTGTGGGTACACTCGTCGACCGCATAACTCTCCTCGGTGCTTCGTCTCGCTATGGACCGCAAGCGACCCGGCCAAGCGTCCTCCTCTTCCGGTCGTGCAACGTACTCGGCGAGTTCCCGTGCTCCGGTATACGCCCAGTACCGCAGCGAATCACCTCCAGCATCGGCATACTTCTCCCATTTCTCCGGAGACCACCATGAGGAACCTCAGCCCACACACCCGGACGCGAACGCGCACTTCGCATACAGCACGACGCTACGGAGACATACTTTGGAGGGACCGCTTGGAATCCCAGCGACACCTTCGGGAAGCAGCATGCCGTCGTTAGGAGAACTCCGGGGCGCAATGGAGACGGAGGGCGTAAAGGGTGTCTGGGTCCGCACGGTCGGGAGGCTCACGGCTGCGTTCACGCAACGGGAGGACTACGAACGGCTGCCGACACATAGGGAGGAGGCGCATGGGCAGAAGGAGAGCTCGTCCGCGCGGTTCGCGCATCACTCCGTACAGGTGCGTTCTCGTCCAGAAATTGCGAACATGAGTCTTGCGCTCGGTCTCCCCGACGTAGAGCAGTCATCGTCTTCGTGACCTTGGACCGTGTCATTGCATATGGTGCGAGCGGTCACACGACATTGTGATTATAGGCCGGCATATCCCTGGCCACGTTGGCCACGTAAAGTGGCCAGGTCTGTAGGGCAGTATATCCCAGTCCGTGTGGGGGGTACCCGCTCGCGTGGTTTCATGTTTCAGGTGCACAAGTGCAGTAGGTGATTCTCAGGGGACCACTGGTACTCCTCAGCTTGGGAAGAGCGGGCTGAAGGGAGGGCGGAGCCCGACTGCAGCCCGCCACAAACCCCACTGAGGAAGAATGATAGCGTGTAGGAAAGCACAGTCGTGGCGCGTTGAGGGCGGGCTCGTGCCCGCCCGATGCGCGCAAGGACCGTACTGTGCATTGAAGCAGTCTCGAAGGGCACCCAAGCAAAATTCAACCAAGGCCGCCGTGGCCAGGACTGCCCTGAGGGCTCTACCCTATTCAGCTGAGCGTCCCCGTTGCGGTGCGATGTTGCACGGGCATCCGGGCGCAAGACTACGTTCCTTGGTTGTTTCTCATCACTATTCGTAACCTGGCACCTTGCAGGATACACTCGCGCACTTTGCTACGTCGGCAACAGAAGGCTTATCCTCTAGGAGAGTACAAGAGCTCCTCCACACGCACGGCTACAACGAGTTTACGGTGTCTACCCCCGAACCGCTGCTCATCAAGTTCGCAAAGACAATATACGAGAACCCGCTCATCCTTCTGCTGTGTGGCAGTGCGATCGTTAGCGCGGTCATGGGCAACATCGACGATGCTGTCAGTATCACCGTGGCGGTACTGATTGTCCTGACAGGTGCGCTCGCTCGAACCCTGCTGTATTTCCCGCTCGCGTGACCTGATAACCTCCAGTCGGATTCGTGCAGGAACAACGGTCAGAGAAGAGCCTGGAGGCGCTCAGCAAGCTCGTGCCACACCATTGCCATCTCATCCGGTGTGTCTAGGCAGTGCGGTCTCTAGCAGTTTGAGGACAAGCTCACACGTCCTACTACAGCGATGGCAAGCCGTTCCACATGCTCGCCAATGAACTAGTTCCTGGGGACATTGTGACGTTCACCACCGGGGACCGAGTGCCCGCCGACGTGAGACTGATCTCTGCGGTCGACCTCGAGGTTGATGAGAGCAGTTTGACGGGGGAGACGACGACGCGGCGAAAGGACACCGAGCCATGTACCGCGATGGGCGCCGGGAATGGGTACGCGAACGGGTCAGGGACAGGGTATGGAGTGCCCGCTGGGGAGCCCGTTGCGCTCGCAGAGCGGTCGTGCATCGCGTACATGGGCACGCTCGTACGAAACGGTGAGTGTAGCGGATACGGTAGTAGGTGTGATGAACGTTGAATATCTGTCCCCAGGCCGAGGCGCGGGCGTGGTGATTGCGACAGGGACGCAAACAGAGTTCGGAGTGATCTTCTCGATGATGCAGGACGTCGAGGAGAAGCGGACCCCCCTGCAGCTCAGTATGGATGAGCTTGCGAAGAAGCTGTCCATGATTTCGTTTGGTATCATTGGGGTCATCTGTATCTTCGGCGTGATTCAGCACAAGTCGTGGCTCGATATGTTCACCATCGGAGGTACGCCAATTCGATTTCTGGTGATAAGGGATCGACTGCTAACGACGTTGTTTCGGTGAAGTACAGTGTCGCTTGCTGTTGCGGCCATTCCG